TACCAAGACCTGCAGTCATTACAAAACAAATTTTGAGATTATACCAATTAAATAAGAATGGAAACAGAATGTAAATAAATCCCAAAAGGTAAGCATACATCCATACATAGTCTTAATGTTGAAACTTGCCATGAGGAGAGGCGAGTAAGAAATAAAATAATAATAATAATAATAATAATAATAATAATAATAATAGTAATAATGATATATCAGATATATCAAAATGATGATGTGGATTTTGTAGTAGGATTATTATATTCTATTATATGCATTTCTTTCTCAATGTTTGTATATATCTGTGGAAAAAACTGCTCCAGAAATGTCACAATTGTAAAACTTTGAACTACTGACCCCAACAGAAAAACTCTTAGTTTTCCTCCTGTGGTATGAGCATAGGAATGATACCATCAGTGTCTATTTATATATTTTCTGCCTTTTCCCTAAGAAAGGACCCCAAATGATTTATAATATGTTCAAAGAAAAAAGCTGATACTAAAATTCAAGAAACATTGAACCATCACATTTAAAATGTTAATTAAAAAAATTAAAAAAATACATTAATTACGTGATCCATATATACCGACATACCCACTGGACATCTAACCAACTGACTAAAAGCTGCAATTTTGTTTGAATCAGAAGACATTTGACTGTTGCCTTAAAGAAACAGAGAGGTCACCACTAAGAGCCCTTCCACATAGCCCTACATCCCAGAATATCAAGGCAGAAAATCCCACATCTGAGTGCGGACTCAGATAACCCAGTTCAAAGCAGATATTTTACGATTTTCTGTCTTGATATTCTGGGCTATAGGGTTGTGTGGAAGGGCCCAAAGGCTCTCTTGGAGGGAGTTTCTTCACCTAGGAATAGACAGTGAGAAGTTTTGTCTCCTGTGTCCTCTCCAGATAAAACAGAAAATGGTGGGATGGACATTTTGCACTTTGGCAGATTCATTTGAGGTAATACGGACTTTCGGGCATCCTGCACCAAAGCCATGTAGGGCTATATAGCTCACCACCAGCACTTTTAATAGAAACTAACCGGCTGTCCATGACAGTGTTGCAACAACGTAGTAGAGTTGTGATGATTAAAATGAAGGTGTTTTTTTATTTTATTGAGATTGTTTACAAAAGGAAATAAACTGTTATTTTATAATTGACTAAACGTTCTTAATTCTAAGCATACCCAAGAGAAAATTTGAAGAGCGGAAACATTCAGAGTTTAAACAGATATAAATATAGTGTTTATTTAAAATGGTAAACAAAAACAAATTGCTTTCAACAGTTAGTGGCCTAGGATCCACAGTTTTGCCAACTTTGACTTCTTGTATTTACCATTTAGGAGTCAGGACTAGCTATTTTGCAAACAGAAGGGCTCCTCTCACTAGCAGAAGTGACTATCTTGTCACTGCAAGAATACCCAACAGAAGCACATTACTAGGTTGTGAATCAGTGAAAGGGATATCCCAAAGTGTGATAGGGAAAGTAAGCTGAGAATCCAGTTGTTTTGGAAAGGCTCTTAGGTTTCTTAAGCTATTTACCATGACAGAGCATTGCTTGCTATTTGAAATAAGTCTACATCCCATTAGACAGTTAGAGAAGAATGTGAGTTCACTGGATTGTGCCTGAATGTTTTAAAGCAGTTGTAATTCATCTCTTTTGCATATTATTAAATACAAAGATCTGCCTGCATTAGATTTTACAATGCTGAACGTCGTAACTCAAACTCATGTATGTGCAGCTACTAACTCAAGCAATAAATTGCAAATTTCTTTCAAATAATGTTTGAAATGTTTCATTTAGTGTTTAGGCATGCAATACAGTTTGGAAAAAAAAACATAGTAAATTGGCTGTAGTATACCAAGAAAATATGAGAAAACTGCTACATCTGAGCTGTGCTCCAAGGCAGGTCTATAAAATGTATTCATAACTGTTCCAAGTCTAGATTATTAACTTTTCAGTAGTAAAATTGTTTTTTCAGTAGAAGATAGAATTGATATTTCTTATTGGCTGATGATGATGGAAAACAAATTGAAATTAATTGGGCTTGATAGGCCAATAAAACAAAGTTCATGCAAACTAGAGAGGAAGGAATATTGGAATTGCTCTGTATATGTTAATATATCCTGCTTTTTATCATACCTGAACAGTTTTTATTAACATGATTATTGTTCTCTTTTAATCCCTGGAAACTAAGTCTGTATAAGAGATTCACAAGCATTGTGGTTTGCCTGTTCCAAAATATTTCATGCCATAGATATATATATATGCGCGAAATAATTAGTTCTGCATACTTGCTCAACAAGAAAGGACAAAAAGAGAGGGGAAAAATGAACAAGATTCCTTGTACATTTTCTTCCTGGACCATTGTTTGCAAAATCCTCAAGAGTGTGCAACATCAATTCAGAGAAAAAGGTTTATTGGAAAATACTACAATTTTGTCTTTTAAAAAATCTACCTTTTTGGAACGTGTGTCTTCTGGATCTGGATTTTATAAACAGATCTATTTTTTGCAAGTACGTATGTTTTGTGTGTTCAAAATGTTTTTAGCTTGACTTTTAGGATCTCAGGTTAGTAGAAATGCTGTCTGCAGAACTGCCTGTTTTTGAAGGTTGTGACAATTTGTGACTTAATGCACTACAAGTCTTCGTTGTGGTGGTTACTCTGTGATCCATGCTGAAAGGTTGGGAAGACGATTACTTTACTATTTCTAAATGTAGGGTGCGTTAAGCAAATTTGTGATTTACATTCTAGTTGGCTGAGGGAATTAGATTGAGAAAGACTGAAAATTGTGGCAGGGAGCTACACAGGTTCAAGGAGGGTTGTTTTCAAGATGGAATCGTGAGAAATGCTTTCTTCATACAGCAATGTGAGGACAGAAAAGCATATGGATATTGTTATCTTAAAATTTTATGTAGTGCTAATGGTCTGAAAATTTCAAAGCAGGGTACATGAATAAAATGTAAAATATACTGCATGATGCCAGTATGCCCCCTCCCCCAAAAAACTTCTGACACCTTCTAGATGCAAATTGACATACACTTGAGTGTACTACACAAAATGGGGAAAGGTTTGCAAAAAATACTATGGCTATAAAAAAGGTGTTTTTCCGTGGGGGGTGGGGGGAGATGCTGCCTGCTAACACATCTTGGGATCTAAATTATCAAGCTCCCCTGATGATGGAGAAAAGTAAAGGGGAGTGGTGTCATTGCTTCTTTTAGGTTCTCCCAAGACAAACTAAGCTCTTGCTTTTCACAACTGTACTTAGAGTACTTCTAGACAGCAATTTATCCTGGGAACATTTGCATTTAGAAAACATGAATGTTCTCGGTTCCCCATCCACACATCCCCCAGAAAGCATGTGCTCTCTGGTGGTGGGTGTCCAGATGTTCTCCCGGAACTTTCCAGGAGAACACCTGGACACTCTAACCCCTCCCCAAAAGCCCCCAAAATCCCTTTAAAAACAAAAGAAAATACCTGGCCTCCATTCACATGGTGCCAAAGCTCTCCTGGTGCGTAGGAATGATGTGCCAGGAGAAGGGGTTGGCAGGAGCAATTTTCGTCCGCCCCCCCCCCTTCCATCTCCTGGCATGGCATTTCTACGTGCCAGGAGAGCTCCGGCAGCACGCAAATGGAGGCCGGGTAAGTTTTTTTTATTTTTAAAAGGGCTTTTGGGGAGGAGAAAACCGTGGGACTACTGTCTGGACTGCCCCCTCAAAAGCCTGGAACTTTTGAGGGAGCAGTCCAGACAGCGAAAGTAGTGGGTTTATCCTGTGCCTTCCAAGGGTTTCCCTGGTTTGTGGTGAATTAATTCATGTTTCTCAAGGATATCATCTGGATAGCCCCCTTTTACTTGCAAGAATCCCCACGTTAAAGGGGCTGTCTGGATGGGTTCCTAGAGACAGTTTTGTTTTGTTTTTTAAATAAAATAAGAGTTAGGGTACAGTATTTACATTGACCTGTGGCGGCTCTGAATAATGAGCTGGCTGGATTCGGACTGCCTTTGCAATTTCTGGGTGTTTTGGGTCCGGGGGCAGGGCAAGTGCTCAAGTGTATTAGGGATGTCTATGCACAGCTGGACCTAGAGAGCATAGGTAGGTCTTCAGCCACAAGGTTTTTAGCTTCCCACAAAAGGAATATTCATTTAGAGCACTACCTAACTATTCCACTTCCTCTACCCTTAAGAAGAATATATACTAGGGCTAGGTTTGAACAACTCGGTATTATGGTGCAAACCGGGCGCTACTGTAACATCCCAAGAAGTGAGAGATTTTGCGTCTGGGGAGAACAAACAGTGGAAGACATTGAACATTTCTTAATTGACTGTCCAGCATATACTGAACTGCGAGACAGATATTTACATCCAATATTATCCAACTGCAGGTCCCCCAACAGAAATGATATTCTGACATCCCTCTTGCAAGGGCAGGAAAGATCCAGCATCATCAGAGTAAGCCTTTTTATTCTGAAGGCTGTTAAGAAAAGGGCAGATTTCTTGAAAGAAGAACCAGGAAAATGGGATTCTGACTATAAATAGAAGGTCAGCTGCTGTCTTCACCTTGTTGCCTTGTTTTTTACTCGTGTTCTATTTTGAAATTGTCATATGACTGATCAAATAAATAAATATTATTATTATTATTATTAAATTGACCTGTGGATACACTAACCAATTTTTTGGGAATCGATTTTTTGACCACAATTCCTAAATGTACACATGAGTATATATAGTACAAAAGGCCAACTTTAAAACAGAATTAAATTATGAACAACAACTGAAACAATTTGAAACAGTCAATTAAAATTATTATTTAAAAGTTTTAATAAGTACAATTAAAATATGGTAATACAGCACTCTCTTAAAAGCTCTTTCTTTGGAAACCGTATGTTCTCAAATGTCTGCATGACTAAGTCATTGCCTGTCAATGGAAGGACCTCTTCTAATCTCAATAGGAAGGGAGTTTTGAAGCTTAGGGCAGCCACTAGGACAACCCTATCTTGCCTCAGTCTCTCAAAGTTAAAGCTATAAGCAATATTTTCAATTTGTGTTTCTCTGCCGTAGATTTGTGTCTTTGTGGTTGTTTGTGGAGTTGGTTTTTATTGGTTCATTTTGTTCATCATAGTCAGGCACCTCATAAGGCCGCTTCCTCTTCTCGTAAACCATAATGATAACAACAAGAGTAATTATCTCTGCCAGAATCCCCAGGAAGGGCCACAAAGGATCCAAGCGGCTGCGAACACGCAATATTGTAATTGCTGTATCATGACCAGCTGAGTTGGTTGCATTGCATTCATACAGGCCAGGATCCTCATTGACGTGGAGGTTCATAATGATCAGTTCAGTATAGTTGTCTTTCTTGTTGATAAAGAAGCGACCAGAACTGTTGTCGATCGTCACAGAATTATCATTGATCTTCTTATACCACATCCATTTAGGGTTCGGGTAACCTGCCGATTTGCAGTACATCAGTGCCTCTTGCCCTTCATTCTTGTTCTCACTTCGTTTGTGCCCAATAATATCAGGAGCAGCTTTCACTTCAATAATGGCATTTACTGAATGGGAGCTATTGAATACGAACACGCACGAATACTCCCCGGAATCATCTGTTTTGGGCTTTTGAATTCTGTATTTTGTGTTGTTTGTAGCATTCCTAGTGCCTGAAATTTCTTTACCATTTTTCGCCCAGTAACTGGAAATGTCAGAAATGTTACTTGCAGTGAGGTTGCACTGTAGTGTGATGGGTTTTGAAGGCGAAACATTGGTATTAATAGTCATCTTATTACTGGCATTGATCCTGGGCTTGTTCTGGGCGCCAGTCAGCGTCGGGAAAAGGCTCCATGCCATCGCCAAGAGGAAGGAAAAAGTCACGGGAATCAGCCCTGAATGCCACCGCATTATCTCAGGTTGGTTTGAGGGAGGAAAAGCAGAGGGGTGAGGGTTGGAATGGATACCATCACAAGTCTTTTCCCTCCAAGTGTGTCAGTAAAAGGTAGTGGGGTTAAGGAAAATATTATTGCTGCACTAACAGTCATGGTATCCTGGAAACTGGAAGGCTTTTTGCATTTCATTGGCTCTCAGTTCTGATGTCACAATGAACCATGTAAACTTTGACTAAAACTGGGTTGTTGTAGGTTTTTTGGGCTGTATAGCCATGTTGTAGAAGCATTCTCTCCTGATGTTTCACCTGCATCTATGGCAGGCATGCTCAGAGGTTGTGAGTTATGTTGGAAACTAGGAAAATTGGGTTTATATATCTGTGGAAAGTCCAGGGTGGGAGAACTCTTGTCTGTTGAAGCTAGGTGTGGATGTTTCAATTGGTCACCTTGATTAGCATTTGATGGCCTGACAGTTTTTCGGTGTGGCTTGTTACTGTCTGGAGGAATCCTTTGTTGAGAGGTGCTTAACTGTCCCTGATTGTTTTCTGTCTGGTGTTCCCCTGTGTTTGAGTAGTGTTCTTTATTTACTGTTATAATTTTAAGAGTTTTTTAAATACTGGTAGCAAGATTTTGATCATTTTCATTGTTTTTTCCTTTCTGTTGAAATTGTCCACATGCTTCTTGTGGATTTCAGTGGCTTCTCTGTGTAGTCTGACATGGTGGTTGTTAGAGTGGTCCAGCATGTCTCTGTTCTCAAATATATGCTGTGTCCAGGTTACTTCATCAGGTGCTCTGCTATGGCTGACTTCTCTGGTTGAATGAGTCTGCAGTGCCTTTCATGTTTCTTGATTCGTGTTTGGGCAATGCTGTGTTTGGTGGTCCCTATGTAGACTTGTCCACAGATGCATGGTATATGGTAGACTCCTGCAGAAGTGAGAGGATCCCTCTTGTCCTTTGTTGAATGTAGCGGTTCCGGCCCAGCTTACCTGTCCAAACGCATCTCTCCCTATGGACCATCTAGGACTCTAAGATCGTTTGGGGAGGCCCTGCTCTCGGTCCCGTCTTCTTTCATACACAAAATTTTAAAATGTTGTGCATACAGTTATTTTTAGTCTATGCGTATAAGGTGTATACAAAACAAAAATAAATTTCATATCAAAACTTGCGTCCCATTTCCAGGATATCTCAATATAAAAATGTACAGGTATTTCAAAATATGAAAAAAAAAATCCAAAATCCAAACCATTTCTGGGCCCAGATACTCAATCTGTACAAATAAAGAAGATGAAAGAATGTTCGTGTTGCTTAAATATCACTTCCTCACAACTGAAACAGAAAATAGTTGAAGAATCTCTTACAAAAATCTTCACATTTGACATTCCTCAAATACATTTCACTGCCTTTTGAAAAAAGTTGGTAGTTCAGAAGGTTGCAAGGAGGATACTTTCCCACAATCTCTTACTCATTTCTAAAACTTTTAATAATTATTTTTATTTGGACTTATACACAGGTTTGAACAAGAAACTGAAGAAAAAAGGAGATGCCCCAGAGAAGGATGATACAGAAAAGCATAAGGTATAAGAGAACATTCTGTACTGACATTAAGAATGGACAGTATCTTGCAAACCTGGCAGTGAGTCCATAAGAGCTTTGGTATGCTAACTTTTAATATGGTGGGTTGTTGTAGGTTTTTTCGGGCTATATGGCCATGTTCTAGAGGCATTCCCTCCTGACGTTTCGCCTACATCTATGGCAAACACCATATTAAACACCTTTCAATATGGTGTTTAACTGGTAAATCCTCAAGTCTGCAAGTATACTAATGAGATCATTCTTAAATCTTGCCATTGGCGTTCTTGTGTTTTGGCTACAGTAGCAAATTGGTTGCGTCTAAATTCTATGTAAAAAAAAAAGGTTTCAACCTCATTCACAGAAACAAGATTTTTTAAAAATAATATTAAATAAATTAACATTTAACAAATACAGTATTATTCATTAAGCAGTTGCTGCAAGTATGAAAGTAGGGTGAGAAACAGGCATGGGGCTATGAGCATGTCTTACTTGCCCAGGTATTTAAGAGCAATTTTTTTTGTGTTTTAAAAGTATATTTAAAGTTTAAAATTTACACATGTGTAAAACAGACTTAAAAATAACTGAACTTGTTTTTAATTAATTATTCCTTAAATTTGATTAAATACATCAAAAATGTACTCGTTATTTAAAAACTTGCCCATACACAATTAATTGTATTTGCTTTATTTTTAAAGATTTATTTTATTTATTTTATTATAATTCAATACATTTGTTATACATCATTTGTTTTACAGCAGATATATAATATTCAGTACAATACAATACATTTTTGCATTTTTAGCTTATACATATTTTCTGTCTCTCACCATCATGTTCCCATCTCCCCGAGCCACTCCTTTTATATACCATCTCTCCAAAAATTTCATTTCCTCTTGTGGAGGTTACTTTCCGTCTTCCTTTTTGAATCCTCTTTCTTTTTAATTCCTCTTTCAATATTTTTTTCCATACACCATCAAAATCACTTTGTTTCCAAATCCCTCTTTTAATTTTTAATTTACATGTCAGCTTGTCATTTATTGCCAATTTCCATACTTCCTTATACCACTCTTCTATTTGTATATTCCTTTCTATAAGCAGTCTTGCTATTGTTAATAAGTTTGTTATCTCATCGTTGTCCTCTTTTTTCAGTTGTTTATTAGTATATAATGATAATAAAGCTATACTATGACTTCTTTCTCTTTTAATATTCATTATATCCTCTCTCTAAATACATTTTCCCAAAATTATTTACATATTTACACTGCCACCACATATGTATATATGTTCCCTATTCCTGGCATCCTCTCCAGCAATTTTTTAAATAGTTTTTATTTATATTTGCTATTCTTATTGGTATTAGATACCATCTCCTTTGTATTTGTTTTATAACATATCCTTATTTTTGACTAAACGATGTCATACACTCACTATGCCATAAAACCCTTGCCTTTCCTGTGTCTTAAGAGATTGCTGTATGAATTGGTTCAGTCCATCTCTCCAGGTTGTAGACTACGCTTGCTAAATTATCATAAGAGATTATTTGTGGGGTTCAGACCCACCAGGGGAATCCAATCCATTTTCATCGAGAGCCGCATCAGCCTTATGGCCTTCAAAGGGCCATTGAATCCATGGACTGAGAATCTGGGGATATAGAGGGCCAGCTATAATTTCTTACATAGTGGTTGTGGTGTGGTTTAGTTTTTAATTCAGTTTGGTCCCCAGATGTTATTTATTTATTTATTTATTTATTTGCTTACAGTATTTATATTCCGCTCTTCTCACCCCGCAGGGGACCCAGGGCAGATTACAATGTATATATACATGGCACACATTCAATGCCATAGACCAGGGGTCCTCAAACTAAGGCCCAGGGGCCGGATGCGGCTCTTCAATGCAATTTACCCGGCCCTTACTCAGGGTCAACCTAAGTCTGAAATGACTTGAAAGCACACAACAACAACAACAATCCTATCTCATCAGCCAAAAGCACACTTCCCATTGAAATACTAATAAGTTTATATTTTTAAAATTGTTCTTCATTTTAATTATTGTATTGTTTTAAAGTGTTTTTTGAACTACAAATAAAATATGTGCAGTGTGCATAGGAATTCATTCATGTTTTTTTCAAATTATAATCCGGCCCTCCAACAGTTTGAGAACTGTGACCTGGCCCTCTGTTTAAAAAGTTTGAGGACGCTGTCATAGACACACAACATATATAGACAGACACACAAGAGGCTATTTAACATTCCAGCTTTTTCATGATGGTATTCTGGCCACCAGGGGAGCTGTCGCTTCACCGTCCATTTGTGACACTGATGAAGAACTTCCTCATTCTTTGCATGCTTGTTGGAGATTTTTATGGTGTCGTAAATTAGTTAAATTAGCCTCTTCGCATACGCAGTATCTACATTTCCTACTTGACACATGCAACTGTCTTTCCGGTTGCAAAGGTTGACAGCAAACTACACAAATTGGTCAGAAGCTCACTCTGACCCAGGCTGGCTTTGAACTCATGACTTTTCGGGTCAGTAGTGATCTTAATGCAGCTGTGCCACAGTCCCGGTGTTACTGAATGACAGCTCTCTTCACTTTTTATTATCTGCCATGCTAACTGGGGATAATGGGAATTGCAGCCCAGTCACACTGTTTAGCTCTGAGACTAGGGAAAAGTTAAAGGACATTTAAAGCCAGACATCGTACTCCAAGCCTTTATCTAAATTCAAAATCCATATTCTGATTAAGCAGACCAAACGGCAGCCTTCTAGATGTTATTGTATCGTAATTCCCATCATCTCTAGAATAAGTATCTAATGATGAGGAATACAGGAGTTGTAGTCCAGTATCTGGAGGGTCGCATAAAATGAGCTGGAGGACCAGATTCAGCCACAGGCCTTGAGTTTGACACATGTGACCTAAAGCATACATACTATTTGGGATGTGTATAATATTGTATATGTACTTGAACACAGGATTTTCTTTCATGCTCTGCACATGTGGATCCTATGTGTCTGGAAAGAGAGTCATAATAGTCTCCTCTTAGGGGTACAAAATGAATTTGCATTATTCAAGCTGTCAGGGCCAGGAGCATGAAAGACTGCCTGGGGAGCCCCATCAAAGCCATACAGAGACCCTGCAAGAATAATGGGATGATAGCGTAACAAATAAATAACATTGATTAAACCATGAATCCTTAGTCGGGTCCAATTGAACAGAGAGTGGTGCTCTTAATTGCTTTGCTTTCATTCTTCCTTGACAATAAAAGTGTTTTGTAAACAGATAGGCTATTATAGCTGTTCCTGTTGTGAATTAGTAAAGGCAGATTTTCAGTGAGACACAAAAACATCTGCAACCTATATTCTGTGAAATGTTGTGCAAACAGATCCTATCTGTTCCAATTCTAACAGGCCGAAATGTCTCTCCTGGTGATGGATGAGGAGGAGGATGAAAGGAGACACTTCAATTATGACAAGATAGTGGAACAG